GTGGGAATAACTAAGACGATTTTTTTCACAGTCTGGTTTTCAAAAACTGATCGGTTTGCTTTTTGTTTAAAAACTAGACAAATATATACTTTTTTATCTACAGTATGTGAATTTTCTATACAGTCCGCCTGCTGAGTCACATGCTTGTATATATAAAAGGAGATAAAATGCAGGTCTAGCTGATAAATGAAAGAAAAGAAAATTAAAAATATTACATCAAAATACAAACTATGGTAACAGCTGTTATAAATAATTAAAAGCATTCAGCATGCAAACTGTGACAACGAACGTAATTATCAAAAAAAAAGTCAAATGAAAACCCAAAAGAACAGAAGAAAGACACTCCATAACCCGCAAATATATAATTCAGATAATGAACGAAATCAGCAACTGAAATTAACAAATGAAAGCTGAAAGAAAACTTCTTGTGGGGAAACATATTCAACTTATCTTTGGTAGCCAGTGAACTAAAATAAATACACACAGTACCTTTTTGACACAAGTCCTCTAACTGGCATTTGTGGCTAGCTTGGAGATATAGCCTTTGCCCATTGCGTCTGATTGACAAACTGATGGACAAAAATTAGTGAAGAGGGTTACAAAATGCACACTCCATGGTCAGGCCACTCTAAAAAAACCTCTTCATTTACATGCCAGCAGTCTGCTGGTTGACCCCCACAGGCTCCCTTCAGACTGAGCATTATTTTACCAAAGTCGGATTGCGACTGCACCGTGGTCCTTGCTCTCTGGAGTGACTTCCATGATACTGTTGAGCACTAAATCAACTAGCACAACTTTGCAAAACAAACAATTTAAGAAATTCTCACTTAACCTAGGCTATCAGCAATTATTATTATTAAACTCATTTTAAGCATTGCAAGTAACCATATCCTTATCTGCACACACATAATTCCCACGCTGTTCAAATTGATTAGGAAAACTGCAACAAAAACATTTAACATTGTTAGATGCAGAGCTCAACACATGCAGAGCTATGACAAAGCTGTCCCAGTTCGACATATAGATGTACAGATAAGTTTCTCCAAAAGGTGGACACAAAATGGCCGCTTCAATCTACTGTGTCCACAGGAGGCCTGTGGAAGCAAATCTCAGAAAAAAAAGAGAGGACGAGGTGGAATAAAAAACAGATGCAAGTAGAGTTTGTGTACATGCCCCAAACTTGAGAAACATTCTTTCGAGCTGCGCTGGGGCTGTGTCAAACTTATAAGGATAGCATTTTCCTTTCTGAGTGAAACTATGCTTTCAAAAACAGTGGTTACTGACCCAGAGGTCAGACACATTGTGCAAATTTTCAGTTTCTTGTCGGCAGATCTTGCCCCAGAATTTCTTTCTCCAATCAACACACTCTAGCTTAATGACTCCATGGAATTTATTGGAGGTCTGTAGCTCCTGTTATCTTTGAAACTCGCCACAAAAGCAACAATTTCCTAACTATTTCATCACCCAATGAAAATAAAACAAGTAGCACAAAACAATTGCTTGTGAACAAAAAATTACTTTGGGTATTTTGTTATAGACTCTCCTATTGCTAAACCATACACTATTATTTCTAATCATGCTCAATAGCCAATGTCCAACTTGTTGGATAGCACTAAATTATGCAAGGTTTGACGAGCAATAAATATCTTACTTTAATACATGGAATACACATTGAAAAACTGTTTGAGGAGATGTGAATATACACACTTCCAGAGATGTTAGAAAGAAATTTTAACCAAAAAAAAAAGCATCTGTGAGTCTAGTTCATAAAAATCGATGAACGGAGGAACTGCATGGGGTGCCCTCACAGCGAACAGTTTTATTTAAATTTGATGACAATGGATGCACACAGCGTCTACTTGAGGGTAACGCACCGGAACAAATACCCATCCTCAGCAAGGGCACACCGAGTAAGTCCTCTATGGGGTTTCTGTTCTCTGATGTTTACCCCTTAAGATAAGTCATACTGGGACTGAGTCAGTGCTGAGACCGTTAATACTCTGGATTACACCCAGAGCAAAACTGTTGCTTTGCCCTGCTGCCATTTGTGGCAGGGTTCTGCTTAAAGAAGCCTTAACTTACAATTTGGTTTTAAACTCATGTCAACAAGGTCACTCCCCTGCAGAAACTACCTGGAAGCGCAATAACAAAAAATGAACAATTCCAGTTTGGTTGGCTTTTGGACCATATCCATTCCATTCTAATTGTATGTTCTCTGAATATAGCTATTTCACAAGCATGGACTTGTCTCAGGTGAGGACTCCTGGATCTAAAGGCTCAACACAGGCCCTCCTTAGCTTGGCACAAGAACATCAGATATTTCACTTCAAAGCCACAGGTTGGCATCTTTTCAGTTTGTTTGAACATTAAAGAATGCTAAAGAAGACTAGGCAGATGACATTTTGAAATGGTCTACCACGCTGGCACTGTCTCCATCACGCATACATTTTTTTTTTTCACCTCGTCCGGCTGTAGGCCAAAAATCTTCTTCCAATTCGGCCGCAGACAAGGCAAAGATGCCGTGTCCAACATTCTGGTGAGTGCCCACTTGTTTCTCTGCCAAAACACCAATTTCACTTCTCGAAACAAGTTGGCCTTGACATGACCTCACGAAGTATCTACTTTAAACTACAAGTGCTGTTCAGCTGGCGAAATAGTTGATGCCCATGTCAAAAACACATATGGATAAGTCCTCACAATTCAACCACTTTACTAAATTCTCCTCTCCATTTGGACAAAAAAAATCATCTGTCCTTGTAATTTTTTTTACTCACATTAACAATCCCAGACTTTCTGTGAAAAATATATAGCTATAAAAAGATAGGTTAGTGTATCTGGAAAAATTGGAACCCCTACATTTATACTTCAAATATTTCTTGAAAACTTATTCAGAACACACACAGCAGATCATCATTTACTCAAAAGTGGAAAGCACTGAGTGTAGAACTACAGTCCTCTAAGTCCTGGTACCACAATGCAAGAAAACAACTTTTCACGGAAAATGGGAGTTGTTGAAATATTTATTCTAACAGTGTTATAAATTCAACTCTCCAATCTTGCCAACTCGTTTTTTTACAAATACCCAGTTGCATTCTGAAAAGCACAACCTACACGTACAAGGTTATAATTCTACTCCAGCTCTTTTCTGCTCTCAAATTCTCTCTAAAAATTCCTGAATTCCAAGTCCTGGTGGCAGCATCGAGACCAGACGGCCCATGACCAAGGGCACGACCTGGAGTGGTGAGACCATGACCATGAAATCGATACTGAAACCAATACAGCCCGGGATCAAGACCAAGACCTTAATTCAATAATGACATGATGTGTTGTGCACCGAAAACACACCAAAGATTGAATAAAGTTTCTTTTTATGAATGCTAGTTTAGCTCTTGCCACACCCTATCATAACAGTGCAGAAAGTGATCCGACCAATTCTGAGAAACTTTCTTGCTTGTTATTTCTGTCTCCACCACTTGGAAGATTTCCATGTTGTTTTCGCTGCTACGACAACGGGACTGGTGGCATTGTAATGCAACTTATGTCATGACGACGTGTATGTACACCACGTACATATACAGCTAACAGTCTACAAATACTGAGAGAGTAGGGTGTGCTGGGAGTTCTTGTACAACCCATACTCGCCCTCTACACGTTAGTCATGAATATCACAGCAAGAAGACATGCTGTGAAAACATGACCTGCAGATTTACATGGGCTCAATGAACCTAGTTGCGTCACGTTTTCTTCAACCACGGTTGCAATAAATGCATACATGGCACGCAAAATCAAAAGAGGTTGACCCTTGACCCTTGAACTGCAGTACGGCGCAACTCCTCTAATCTCAATAGTGATGAAACTGTCCAGTGGCCAATTTCATAGAGCTATTTAAGCACAGAATTTGCTTAAGCACGAAAAAACCTAGCTGAAAAAACAAAGGTTAGGCCTACCAGCTCAAACTCTATGTGATTGTCATGCTAACCAAAAGACAGGTAAATACCATTCCAAAACAATATTCATCACAAGAAGTTTTGGCTGGTAACCTGATTTGTCAAGCAAAGTTTTTTCACGCTTAAGCAACTTTTTCTTTTAAGCAGCACTATGAAATTGGCCCCTGATAAACACGATGCAACTGTTATCAAGATGTATTTTTGCGTTGGGGAGATGTTAATTTATATAACGGTTTTGCCAAGTTTTGTTATTAATAGACATTGGGTAAGGCAAAACCCGTTACATAAATGATGTAACTGATTATGAGCATTAACACGCTGCATGTTACTAGTTTGGACCAAGGACCAGCAAAAATACAGAGACCTTATATTTCCAAGAGGTAGACCATGACCGAGACAAAGACAAGCAAGACTGGTCTCTAGGCCGGTCTCAAGACCTACATCACCACCTGGTGGATCCTCAGGACAAAAATATCTGAACCTAAAGACACCAAGCAATTACAGAGTTTTGCATTATGTAAATTTTAAAAAAATGCCCCATTAAAAAAACTTGCATTGGGGAAATTTTGCAAACCTCCTCAAGATTTACAAAGTCCTGAAAACTGTCCCATTTCATCAAACTGAGTGGTTACAGTGTCTTTAACCCTTCTGTTATGGGGCATGTTTAAGTCCTTATTGACATGTGCCTACCAGGAACAACTGGCCATGAAAGAAACAGCCGTGCCCTTCAGTGCACGGCTACAAACAGAATGCACGCCACAAATGAAGAAATCTCCAAGTGGGCATACTTTCCCTAGACTTCCTGAGACTGCCCAAATAGAGAAATCAAATTGAGGGGCCAGATCATATGGCCTGTAAGCCCTAGACACCACTGTTTTGTACATGTCCATGCATAATAAGAACCAGCATGGCATGGGTTATTATGTGCTTGAGCCTCACATTTCATGCTAATACCCAGGCCAAACTGGTAAAAGCCTGTCAGCACTGTGTGTGTTACAGAACAAGCTTAGCACATCAATTTTTTTGTCTGCGTGCACTGGCGTATGTACCCAGCTAGATCAGTGACAGCTAGTTTTAAAAATGCAATTAGTTGATTTCTGCTAGTTTGCAGAAAAAAATTGTTCCAGTTTTCTGAAACAGTTCTTTGAATGGAAATTGGAGGAGTACTGATGTGTTTGTGGTAATTTTGCAAACCCTGGAGTTTTCTGTGGGCCCTAAATTTTTCATAGGCCCTGAGCAAGGTACAAGGTTTTTGTGGTGAATAATCCCACCCAGGGCAGTAACACAAACCACAATGGCTCACTGGTGTTATTTCTGGCTGGCACTGTGACCCAACAAGGCAAAAGGGTTTAACACTGATTTCTGATCGATCAAGGAGGATTTTCTTTTTGGGGGGAGTAGATGGTCTTTATTCCTCTTGGGGCTTATAGTGCTGGAAGTGACTGCTAGATTACCCAGTACATGGCAAAGAGGTGTTTGGCTCTTTAAACTAATTCTCAAGTAATGGATGCTGAAATTGTGTGCTATCTGAATACACTCTTACTGAATACATGTGTTCATAGGCAGAAAGCAGAAAAGATACCGTCAGCGTACACTACCCTTTTGATGGTGCAGAGACTAATGAAGGCACTGTGAAATAACTACCTTGCCAACTATCTTGCTTTCAGATCCTGTATTTTCCACACTCGGCTCGGTCGTTTAATTTTCCCTCGAGCTATTTACATCAACTTTATTTTGTTCCTGGGTGAATAAGAGAAAGCAGAAGGGTCCACATGTAATTTTCAGAATGAAGAAATTCTCTGAATGAGATTACAAGTGGTTCAACTCTTCGCTTGAAATCACAAGTTCAATTCTCTAATAATAAAGGCAATTCTCATGTGCTTTCTTACATTTTGAGAGGATTTGCTTACATGTACATGTAGCTACATTTTTTTTTCTTTTGAAGTTCAATGAAATGAGGACCTGTAGTTACAAGGGGGATATGAAGGGTCCCAGGAAATGGTAAAAGAAGAAACTCTGCTTAAAGAAAATCAGCTGCATGAGAATTATGCAAGAAAGTCTCTGCTGCCCTCTAGTGGCATGGCAAAGGATAAAATAATTTCCCTCACCACAGGTGGCCAAAGCCTCCCCTTGAATGTCAAGCCGAGGATTACAAATGCTGCCCTCTGTTGGTTTTTCAATAAATATACTAAAGGCAAAATGTATTTAGTGCTTATCTTTCCAGGTTTTTGTACATATCAGGAAAAGTTTTGAAGATCTCTCCTCAGTACATGTAAATACACAAACAACTGTTTTTCGAAAAGATATTTCGACCATTACTGTTATATAGCCCACAAGAAAAAAACAAACAAACAAACAAAAAACAAAACAAAAATAGAAAGTATTTTGTCATTTCTGGTAAAACAAATGACAAATGTACACAGTAACTTTATGGGTTCCTGTGCAACCACTAACTTCGAAAAAAAGGTGCATTTCAATAGGAAGTCTCAAAAGTACAAAACAGCTGTGACTGGATTTACAAAGTGTCTGTTTCAAAGACAAGCATTTAACAGAATGGGATTGGGCCAATAATACATGTAATTTGGTATGTATGCGTGAGGAGTTGGCTAAAAGGCTGACAAGTGATGGAACAATTTTTCTCTATTAATTGTGTATAATGTTACCCAATCTCAGCAGGGTGGGACGGGGGACTGCTGGATGTAGATGTATTGATAACATTAGCCTGCTTTACACAGTGGGGGCATCGGCAGAGTTACAAAGTTAAAAATTGAGGCAAGACCGCATTTGATTTTGCCGCTGGAAGTTGAGAAAAGTGCAAGCAGGGATGGGAAAACTTCTTCAAAACATTACTTTACTGTGTGTCTCTGTGAGATTGAAGGGTTACTGGCTTTCTGATGGTTGATGAATTTACGAGTGCATGCCACAAAAAACATGTCACTTAAGCTTGTGGCGATTGGTCTCCAAATTCTTGATTAGCCAATTACGTCTCGGTTGCCGCGAAGTAAAAACTTGCTTGGGGTGTCTTAATTAATGCAGAACACCTTATTTAGTTCAATTATTTATTAGAGGTCATGGACCTGACATAATTGCAGCTGATCCAAACCAGCAGTGCGGTTTGCTTCATGACAGACAATAATAAACCTCTTCCTAAATTGTCTCTCCGGAAGATATGCTTGCAATTTGCGACAAAAATACTTAAAGGTGGCCTTACATTAATGTATGTACTGAAACCTTTTCAGAAAGACCAACATGCAAGATCATATGGCACTGATGGATGATTTGACTTGTGGCATTTTGGCAAGCGGTGAGTACATGTAAATTTCTAAGAAAACAGTCAAAGATGCACGTTTTAAGTTTTCTCCCATGTTATCAGTACACTGTAAAAAAAAGTTGATCACACACTGTTGGGCATTTATTTTCCCAGCCTTGCTTAAAGTTACAACATTGTTGGTTAATTTCAATTACTGTTGGTCAAACATTGAGCAACCATTAGGTTGGAAAGTTGATATTTACACCAACATTGGGCAAAATATCAACCCAAAAGTTGACAAATGGTTTTACAGTGTACATGAATATCCACTGATGAACAACGTTCCATTGTCCAGCAACATACTTGAATCTCATACTGTGTATTAGACACTACAAATGGAGACCTTAGAAAAGATCATAGTCCAACAGTTCAAGAAAACTGTTTGTGCTTCATAAATAAACTTGATGCGGCTCGCAAACCTCTGTGTTTCAAAGAATCCTTCTTCCCTTTTTTTGGGGGGGGGGAGGGGAGACGGGGTGCCATCTAAGTGCAGAATCTTTGAAAAAAAAATGTTCCAACTTTTTTGACACAGCAGTTCAATTCAGTTCAGAACACCAAATTTTGTCACCCCTCGTCTGTGTACGTGGGTCCTCACAATTGCTAAAGGGTTGAATAAAATGAATGGAAGATGATCTGATGGGGCTTGGCAATTTTTACCAACCTAAAGAGAAGCTGGTTAGTTAACAAGATGAATTAACTTCGTAGTTGAGCCATTGCCTTGTTTAATGCACGGTTCTCTTCCCTGGACCGGTCCAGCTCTTCGTCAACTACCTCAAGATCCTGCATTGGGGAAACAATAGGAAGAAGATGATGAGAAGTCTGGGGCTAAGACTTCATACAGCCGTCTCTAAATTATTTGGCTACGGCTATGAATGATGTGTGCCAATGAGAACCACTTTCTAGTGGCTGAAGCTATTTCCCTTAGACATGAGTTATTCATCGTCACAGTCAGTCAGATGTGGTCTTGGCCTCTATCAGGCAGTATATTATCTGACATAATAATATTGTATCATAGTTAGAGCATGACAAACCTTAATTAGGCCATGTCCAAAATGGGCTTCAATCGCTACAGCCTGTTAACAGTCTGCACATCTTCCCTATATTTCCAATGGAGTGAAGACCTAGACCTAGCTCCAGACAACAGATTCGGATGCAGCCTTAGCCTAAATTCAATACATGTTATGTATTGATAGTGCAACCGTTCCTTTAACAGCCTACCCTAGGTCAGTCCAGAGTTTTGATCAAATGACAACAAAATTATTCAATCTTGTGGAGAGCCAAGCTCGCATTAAAATCTCACACCTAGGATTTTTTCCAACTTGGTTACAGTGAATGTAGGTACAAAAGAAGGAACAAACTCATTCTGAATGAAATGTGTTATCAGTTCAGTTTACTGTTTACGGTATACATGTACATGAATTCTGAGAACGAGTTTTACATCAAGCACATGGGTATACCTATATGTGGGTTTCATTACTGTCAGTTTCTTTTTTTAACCAGACCAGTAGCCAGAAACATTCTGAATGTAGTGAGGTCACAGGTAAAAATACTCTGACCAAGACTATGCTGTGCATTCATATTTAGATGTATATATATCCAAATGCTGTAAATCTGTTTGCCACTGATGCACTGAGAACCTGCCAGCACTGGCAAACATTCTGCGACAGCTGTGAATGCGGCAAACCTGGCAAGCCTGTGATGTCAACATCACCGGCGCTTCGTCACCGGTGGGTTGACTGTCTTTTTTGGGGGGAGAGGCTGATGCAGAACTGAGCAACATGCATCATCTCACCGTCACTTATTTCCACAATGTGCATCCCTATCCGTCACTCTCTTCTGCTAGTTAACGGCACCAAATACAAAATGCTGACATGTGGCAGTGTATATCAATCTTGTGACACTTTTCTTAGCTTGACGATGCACAAAATATATTTTTCGATCTGAGGAGTTTTCTCCTTGTTTACCCTAAACCCGGTAGCAGCAGTCAGTTTTCTGATGAGCGGGAACACGTTTCTACACAAAAAGAAACTGGTTTCCAAAATACATGTAAAAAACAACAAGGGCGTTTCACAATAGAGCACCGCCAAGAGTTTGCAACACATTGGTCGCTGTATGCAATGCATGTTTGAATGGGTTTGACACGTCAGCATATGTCGACCGGCAACGTGTATTAGGAAAGGGTCGACACATTTCGCACATTGTGATTGGCTAATGCATTGCCAACTCAGACAGAAGACCTTCACTGCACATAACATTCGTTGCTCTCTCTCTCTGGACAATGCATGGGAATGAAATACTTTTTAAGGGATATTCTGGTGCATGAAGAAAATGTAGGAAAGTCATCAATAATAAACAAATATCAGCATGTATGTTGAAAAACACTATCAACACAAAAAAGGAATAAGAGAGGAGGTTACTGTACCAAGTCCAGTACAAACCACAAAACCAACAACCAAAAGGAATGAACTCAAACTCATGTAAAAACCAAGCAGCTTCATGTGCATTCAAACACCTCAAGCGAGTGTTACAGAACAACGATACTGCCAAATAACCCAGTGAAATACTCAAGCAAAGTTAGCATGTACTTCTGTCAGTATTTGGATTTCATCTTCCAAGCGTGCTACTCTCTCCTCAGCCTCGTGTAGCCTCCGGGTCAGCCGTCGGTTCTCCCGATGTTCGCGCTCATACATCTGTCACACAAGCACAGCAGGTCGGTTCACACACCATGCAAATACATGCAGAGGGGAAAGGGAATAATACAACAGAAACCAGTCAGTGACCTCATGAGCAAAGACTACAACAAATGTACAACTACAATACAAAGAGATACATGTATATACATGAACATGGTTAATAACATATGAACCCATCCCAACAATTATTCACTATCCTCAACCCAAGCTACCAAAATTTGTCAGGCATACAGGTATGTGCAATCTGGCTTTCTGAAGGGTCAAGGGGGACTCGCATGAGTGTCATTGTTGGGGGGTGAGGGGCACAGATGAGGACCGAGCAGGTGCATGTAGTTTGGGGAGGGATTTAGAACCCATCTTCCATCTCACCCTCTTCCATTCCTCTGCTGACCTCCCGTCCACATCCCTCCGTAGTATCGACCTCGGGGAGGAGGGGCTGCTTGGGTTGTTGCTGTCGAGGCTTTCTCTGGCGTGTCTCCTGCAACCAAACAAGTAACGTCAATCAAGAAAGTGTTAGCACAATCCAGGATGACAATCCAGAATGACAACCAAGGATGACGATGACAGACTTAATAAATGTACATGTATACTATTGCCAAGAGCAAGATGAGTGTGTGACGTAGGCAGATGACTGATACAGAATTCTGAAAGTTGTGCATGTAGGTTTGAATTAGCAATCACCATTCTTATCATCTGAACGTTGTTTTCTAAGAATCTACCAACATATGTTAATATTTCTAACCACTTAAGAGGTTTTGGAAAGAATTGAATTTCAATGTCTGCTATTAGAACAATGTATATCTATTTGGGTTTCAAAGCTTTTGGGCAATTCTCCTATGCCTTCTGAAGATCTGTAAATTGATGGAATAGATAAACGTAACCAACTAATTGATACTTCGATCAAGTAGCCAAGTAACACTTGCAGGCCTATGCTACAATGTTTGTGAATGATGGGCTTTGTGTGACGAGTAGAAGGACTACATTAATTGTTTTCACCTTTTAGGGGATGCTGAATGTTCATTTCTGCACAAAAAGTCAACATTTTAATCTTCTTCAACTGCTGCAAATTTTTGGAAGCTTTACACAAATATTTTGTCACATTTTGGGCATTCAGAAATGCTCTTTTTAACATTCCAAACATTTACAATTTCAAATACGAAAATGTACAGGTACAATAACATCATGACTCAGAGTCAGGCACATGTACATGTAGGCCTGTATGTACAGGACATGAATGCACGTGAAATGCTGATGATCTTGACGATCAAAATAAAATACTGTAGGTGTACTTGTATGTAAACCTGTTGACATTACCACTGTACCAACACAATGACAGCAACTGGCAAAACCAAAGGCTTGGGGTGCAAAGTGCGTGAACCACCGGCAGGGTTCATGTAAATAACACAGTCCAACCTCTATGTATGGCCAAATCAAATATTGACACGTCGACATTATCAGAAACCGATGATCCCGGGGACGAACTTGACTTTTATCAACTTGTCCTTACGTTGTCAAAATAAAGAGGAATGTTCCACGCCAGAGGCTTGGCAGTAAGATCAATTGGACGCGACCGACCATTTTATTTTGCATGTATCTTTATGTAGGAAATGCATGTGTATCCTGCATATGTACATGTACAGTGTACATCCTTGTCATCAGGATATTTGTACTCAGTACAACACTCAACACAAGGCTACATTAAACATGTACATGTATTTATACAGTACGTACTGATAAAATACATATATGCCTACGTTTCTTCAGTGTTCTCTCCCGGTTCATGATACAGCTACATGTAAATGTAAGTGGTACAACTTATCAAAGAGGTATGAAATGTCCTTGAAGATTTGATCAAGTTAATCTCAACCAGCCATGTCCCCATCATAATCACCACTAGGGACAGGGAAATGACTTTCTTTTCTTGACTGGCAGTGTCAACATGATAAAATTGCTGATTACACAAGTGCATGTACACGTCATTTTTTGATTTATGGCACCAAAATATTTTATCTCAGGAGACAGGGGGGGGGGAGATGTAGGGGGACTCAAGTAGAACTACTCCAGTCTGGTTTACATGTACGTGAATCGCGACTAAAAGAACAACACATTTGATTGACACTAGACAAGCTGCCAAAAACTAAATGCGGGACTACACGTAGCTGGGGTGGGCTAATGGAAGTTGGCCGTAACACTTGAGATTTCTAGACAAGACTTGATGCTGCACTGTCTGCCAATGTGCAGGCTGTCTGCTGCCGTCTCTATGTACTACAAACTTTGGCCACGGACATAACGCAGTGCTCTTCGGTCCAATCAAAAAAGCAACATGAGGGTCATTGAATGGCATAAATAAACACTTAGTTTTTTGGTATCAGTTTCACTGCCCGCCATACAGTGGGGTAAAACTGAATGTGCAAGGCAAGCATAATCCAATCTGACACATTATCCAGAGATTTATCAATAAAGGTTTTATGAACACGGGCATCATAACCGGTTGGGAGGGGGAGAAGTTCTTTCCAGGGAAGGAAGGGGTCTTATACCGGTAGAATAAGGTCCATTCTGAGTTGCACGCGCTGGCAACTTTTGAGCAATCAATTCATTTTCACCCCCTTTCCTCCCCCCCCCAACTCTTTCCTGTTTCCTGTGTAATTTTTTCTCCCATAATGCTGCGTTTTCGGGGGTTTCTGAGGAGATTTTACATACCCGGAAGCTAATGATACTGGGCAAGACAGTATTGACAACTTTAATACATCTTCAGAGTATGCTTTTTCCCCATTGAATTTTGGGGTGTTACAGGTTTAGAGTACCTGGGTAGATTTTACTCAGTTCAACAGGGAACCTACATGTAGCTCCCAGTAAATACAGGCCATTACAAGTAGTTTAATATCTACAGGTGAGATGAACCCAAACCTTCTGGCACGTATCCTAGAGACTTCACTGCTGCCATTGGCTGATTCGTCATCCCTGATGGGTGTGGCTTGCCTTCTGTGAGTGGGCGTCTGCGAAGAAAGAGAATAAAAAGCACAAACTCTGACTGCTAAATCACACATCGGCAGACATTCATACCACACTTCCTGCAATTGATGCAAGATTTTTTCAAAAACAAACCTCCAAAATCCATCTTTGCATCTCAGTTAATATCATCTTCCACGTTTATTTCAGCATTTAAAAGGGGTATTTTCCTGCTGTTTGGTCTTTAAACATGTACGTAGGAGTATTTCCATATTTGTGAGCAAAACTGTGACATCATCCCAGGACGAGAAATCCAATGTTGCATTGATCAAAGCACACAGAAAAACCTACTGATTCTTTTTGTTACAGATTTTGCTGGCCACAAGTTTCTTTCCTGGGTGATTCACGTTTATGTAGGTACATACATGTACCAGTATCATTAAGCAAGCATGCATCCCTCTCTCAAAAATGAGAGTTGAGTCGGTTTGGGGCTCACAATTCAACAAAGAAAAACCTGTGCCTTGCAACATGTCTTCCCTAGATGACATCACAGCAATAGTGCCTTCACTTGCCCCGGAGAGCATAAGAAATTTTTTGTTTCAAAAATTGCACTTTTTCATGCATTTCACTGACAAGGCCGGGGATGTCAAACACTTGTAATTGTCATACAGTGAAGAGTATAAAGTTGCAGAAATATCGGGTCTCAGAAAACTTCCTTGCTGCTAAACATGTACATGTACTTCCCATACGCAAACATGGAATTGGTAAGACTCTTATTTTCACTACCTTACCCCGTTTTTTGCATGTTTCCCAGTACCTTCCTGAATCCTGAAAAGTGGGTGGTACACTGTACACCCCCAAAACTCCTAGGATTCATGCTGGTGGTCCTAGCAATGCCCCAGCTCTGCCTTTCCCTGTCCTTGACAATAATTCAAACCTCCAGACATTGATTTTGGAAAGGCTAGGAGATGACTGGATCAGCAAGGAGATGTACAGGTGTGGTTAAATGATTAAAAAAAGAACCTTACCGGTATGTAAAACAGTAAAGGTCTGTGTAACACACAAATAGAAAATAAAGGAAAAAAACTTTTGAGGCCACTTATTGTCACAATACTGATGGCTGTTAGGGTTTGAATTGACGAATATGCATAAACTTTGTCACCGTCATAATTCTAGATTAACTTATGGTTCAATGGTATTCTTAAAAAATTAATTGTTGATATGTTGAACCCAGCCAACAAGTTCAGAATTCCAATCTGTCACAGTCAAACACTGTTGTTGGAATTCGAAATACTGCACTGGCAAGGACAAGGTTTCTATGTAGTTTTCAGGAAAGTGTGGACAAAGCTTTGTATACATGTATTAAAAAGGCAAAGAATGTCTGAATGACGGCTCAAGAAAACCACAAGAAAGCCAAAGGGTGGGTGTGAGATTTGGTTTCCAACCATGGACTGCTACACGTACATGTAGGTCCTGGGAAAAAATGGACATGTCCTTGAAGGTTAGTCCAACATGTGTATTTAAGTTTTGCAGTTTGGGGCCAAGACCAATTAATTTTTTACACAAACACAGCATACCCTCAGGCCATTTAAAAAATGAAGCTGATTATGGATTGCAGATTCCAGAGAGAATTGGTACATGAACATATGCCGTTTGATAAACATCTACTGCAGCAGTTGCTACAAACTGATGCAAGATGATTGGTTGTGTGCATCTGGGTATTAATCTTAAATGATGGATCTAAGGTCAACGACCACATGGTCAAGAGGCTAAATCATAAGAACTGGCAACACACTTGCGGTACAGTTTGCAGATGATTTTCTTGAGGGAAAATTGATTTCCAAAGTAAAGGAATACCATGAACGGATTGTCTATGTATGTGTCCTTTGAGTGTTTTACAGTCAATAACAAGCAATCCAAATCGGGCCGTGTGCCAGTAGTAAGGATTTAGGATGTTGCCTCCGAATGCACAAAAACTACACACAGCTGGTCTTGGAGAAAAAAACACACAGTAAAAGTAACCCACTTGGCTGGGAAAACTTTGATATGAAAATGTTTCACAGTGGGTCAAAATGCGAGTAAAGCAACGTAACACTGAGTTTGAGTGAAATTATTCAGGTTCCAAGTTAGCTTTGCCAAGGTCATATCAGTACATGATGTGCACATAATGTACATGTACCGTACAAGTACATACTGGTACATGTATGTACGTGTACTGTGCATATTTTTATAGGGTTGTTCGTAGTGATTGCTGCGATCTCGTGCCATCTAATCATCTCTCTGGCAAAGCCATATGGAAAATAAAACTTTTAATTATGTAGACAATTTTCTACTGGTAATTTACAACATGTTGGTGACTAGGTGTACTCATGAAAGTATAATTAATAAAAGACTAAATTTGTACTTAAGTTATTTGATGTTGTACGTGAACATGTGTATGTACATACATGTACTGGTATACTCTTATGCTTTTAGCAAAGTCTTGTTCTTTGACCGATTGCAAAAAAAAATGAACAACTGATGACAAAGTACGAAGAAATGATTGACAATGAGTGTCCAGCAGAAAAGGTTTTCCTAAGGGAAAAAGTAAAACAGTTCCAAAATCTACCAGGTAAATTCTGGATCCACAGTCCAGATATGATGTTAAGTTTCACTCCGAGTTATGGATTGTACAGTGCTAGTTGACCCTGAATGGCCCCTGCCATTCTCCCCAGTGCCTGGGTGAAAGAGTTAAGATGTAATCAATATCATTTACATGTGTGTACTTTGGAGCTGGCTGTCTGGGCACCCATTAGACACAGTCTCCATTCAGCCTATGAAACTCACTCTTAGCCTGGGTCCAATTTAATTAAGCCTCCCAGAGGCAGCTGAGTTGTAAGCAAAAGCCAGAGGGGAAAAAAGAAAGCTTGCTCAAATCATGGAGGTAGGAAAAGATCAGGGACATTTCCTGCTACAGTTAGCGTGACTAACTTCTGCGCTGAGAGCGGAGATGTGCTGTGAAATTAGACCCCGGTTTCGGAGATATGGGTACTTTACTTGCCGGGCACCCCTCATCATCAAAATCAATGTGGGGATATTTTTCATCTTCACTAATGATTTGAACAAAATGTAAATGAACAGATGGAGCAGGGGTACAGAAAATCTCTGCAATTGGGCTATATTCCTTCCTGTTAAAATAGTTTCACTACAGACAAGAGGACGCATATACCCGGTACATGTACCAGTACACATCCCATGTACATGTACAGTGTAGATAGGCTTGTTTTACAGTGTATGGCCAACAAATCTGCTACATTTTCAAGATGTATGTTTGCGTTGGGGAGATGTTAATTTATATAACAGGGTTTTTGCCCTTACCCAACGTATATATTAATATACGTTGGACTTGGACTGGCCAGCCAACCCCGGCAAGATCGGTGGTCGCGTGGTTAAGACGTCTGCACTAG